CAAAATATTAGTGATGTTCAAGTATTTAAAAGGATTTTGAACATGTACATGGTATTATTTCTTAATAAAAAACAGATAAAACTTCTTGCCAAGTTTGAGTTTTCTAAAATCAAGTAAAAAAGAATCATATATTGTGATTAAAAAAAGAACCTGAAACTGATCTTACTGAACAACATTGTATTGCACTGTTTGGCTAAGCAAAAGTGGCAGTTGCCTCTTGGTGGCTGGTTTTGTTTGTATTGGATCTGAGGTGGATAGGCTTTTACAACAGGAATGCCAGAATGGTGACTGCCTCTATTTTCAGTCATACTAGAAATGTCTAACAAAGACTCTAATGACTACGGATTTGGAAATACTTATAAGTCTATACAAAGGAGCCTTTCATGACTGCTGCTCCTAATTTTAAGAATCTTGGCTACCGGAGCAGTTCCAGGTAGAACAAAGCTGATAGTATACCTGTGCTTAGCCAAGCGTTAGCAACCTTGCTTAACCCTTAGGTCTGTCACCTTGACGTGGTTCTCAAGCAAAGCAAAGACATGTGGTCTATACCCTGCTCAGCAATTTAGCCATGGCAGGATGTTAATTTCATTAATATCAATCTGAATTGTTTTATGGAATGAGGTATTGTCACACTTGTGGAAGCCATATTTATTCAAAGTGGAGTTAAATCTTTTCTCAAGAGGATATTGAGCATTATAACTGTTCGCCTTGGGAACCATAAGGAACATTGTCACCTGAAATATTTAATTCAGGATTAACTGCCTTTATGTAGAATGTAACTCATTTAACCTGTAACTTTAAAATTCCTGAGGGAAGCCTTAGGTAAATGCTGTGGTTTGTGTTATTTAGGTGGTCAGACTAGATGATTTGTGGCACTTATGTAGCCTTAGAGTGCATTAGTCTGTGTATCAGTGCAATCTCTTTACGGTTAGATGAGGATGCCTGCCTGCCTGCCCTCCAGTTTTTGCATGTAGTGAGTTTCAGGACTTTATTTCTGGAGATACCTGGAGTCATCTGGATATCTAAATTCACCCGTTTAATAAAGTTGACTACGTTCTGTATCAGTTTTGGTGATCTTCCAAAGCAATTTACTTCTTTACTACATTTGGCAAGATAAAAATTTTATGGTGCTTCTGTTACTGAAACTGCTTTTTACATAGTCTTGTTGGTCATTTTTGGTAGAGCTAATCCTCCGGTAAATATACCAAAATGAAGAAGAAAATACAGGAAGAAAAATACTTTATTGTATTCAACCAGAAATAGCATTTGACTTTCAGATAGCACCTTACTGGAGGCTTGAACAGAAAAGTTACAAATTATTGTGTATTATTTCAGTTGTGATGGACACATTTTAAAGCCTAAACTGTTTGGTTAGTGTGATGAATGGAAACAGGACCAATGTGACCTGTGAATTATTGAGGTGAAATATGGGGCTTCTTTCTCCCTGCTGCAGATCTGTGCAGTCTACATTCTAGAATCAAAATTTGGGCTGGCTCTCCACCTGACAAAAGCTCAACATTTTTTTTTTTTTCATAAAATCCCTGACGTGCAGGGATTGGCAGTGAATTGTTTTTTGGGTGTGTTTTGCATATTAAAAATAAGTCATGAATTGTGTAGAATTATGAGCTGGTTGCTTGAAATATGCTTTCCAAAAAGTACTCAGTTTTGGGTCTTAACTAGTAATGGCAAGTATTTATTTACTTTATAATATTTTCAGCTGCTTTCAGTTAGCATTGAGAAAATAATAATTACAAATTAGTCATTCCAACTCTTTTAAAAATGTCCCACAGTATGTAGATGATGCCTGTTTGATGCCATTCTTGATGCTTTTTCTTCCTGGCAGTATTAGAACTTCTGCTCTTCTCTTGTACTATAACAAATGTTTGTTACCAAATCAGGAAACCATTTCATTTTAGCTCTATTTTGATGTCACGTTGATGTCATATATGGTCCACTTTCCCTCTTCTCCTCCTTCCAGCAATACATGATCAATTATTCCATGGTTTAGAGATTTAAGATATTCTGGCAAATGTTTTAACTACCCTGCTGTTGTTCCACAGAATTTTCTGTGAGGAGCTGAAGGATGTGATATGTACTGTCATCAGAAGTGATACTCCTGAAGCACCAAATGCAGAATTGTTTTCAAAACATGGTCTGTGTGCAAGTCTTGAGTCATCATATTTTATACGTCTGAGGGTTAAAATTAGTCACTAATGGGAAGGCCATGTGCCTCTAGTTTACACTTAGGAGGATAGTGCTTAGCAACTGAAAGCTCAGTCTGTTTCAAAGGGGATAAAGGAAAGGGAAAGTCTATTAGTGCAGGCCATTTAGTTTAGTTTGTCTGTTCGTTTATGCATGTGTGGGATTTTTTTATTACACTTTTACCAAGTCACTTGAAATAGCCATAGTCTGCAGTTTCTTACTGATTAGAAATAAAGTTGTCTTAACAAATAAAATCTTCCATTTTCCCCTATTGCTGAAGCACCTTCAATCCAATAGAAGCCTGTGGTGATGGATTCCATCACCACAGGTCCGGAGACATGTGGTAACAAAATTGAAAAGATGATCTGACATGTAGTTCATAAACTACTTACAGCTGCATCTTTTGAATTTTAAGTGTTTGTTTTAGTAAACAAAGGAAGTAGTTTGTATTACTGGTGAAACTGGAAGTCAGTTGAGAATTGCTTTAACATAATATGTTATTGCCTGCTTTGAAGTATTTATTCAAAGTGTTTAGTGCCAAAGGTAGTACTGTAACAGGAAAATGCTGAATGCTTATCTTTATAGAAATGAACTCTAATAAGCTCATAAATTCCCTGTTTTAAATTTTTGCAAAAAAAAGAAAAACATCCATTCTTGCAGAGCCCACAGTAGAAGCAATGTATGTAAACAGAAATTCAAACCTTCAGCAGCTTGAGTGGTCTGGTGACTTAATTGAGAAGCCAGAAGGAATTGGCTATGAAAGCATAAAGTTCTGCAGGAGGAGACCCTGTGTTTCCAAAGAAGTGAAGATGCACATGAATAGTGCACATGGGAATATAGGCGTGGGGTTTGTGACAGTAGTTTGCTTATGCCTAGAAGGCAGGCACCTTTGTTGGTGTCTTTGAATAGGGCTTCAAAGTCCCTGATGAGTCGTTTTTAATACCTGCAGGTGAGGTGTAAATGATCAGTCAGCATTGCTGTGCTATTGCTCTTTTTCAGATGTTAGAAAAGATATGTGATTTTAGGAGTGCTTCAAGCTGTACTCAACGTTCATTTTGGAGAGCTTCTCTTCTAATCTTCCTGGAAGTTACTATGATTCTCTCCTGCATTTTATTGGAGGAGAGAACGTTATTTACAAACTGAAATATGAGGCACCTTCTGCACATTCAGTATTTCAACTGTGTATGTTTCCTGGCAATTGCATTTAAAGAAAACAATAAATGAGAGTGGAGAATTGGGATTGTGTTTTTCACATAAAAGCCATAAATGGTGTGCCTGTTTTTAGGGGTGGGATCATACACCATCAAGACAGATCTGCCACCAAATGATACAGCTGATAGATGCTTTTGTTGCAGACTTTGTAGATCTGGAGTATGAATAAAATAAAATTGTATAACACATAACAACGGGGCTCTGTTGAAAGGATGACTGAAAATTATGGAGAAAACTCTGTGCTTAGCACAAACCGACTTATAGTCAGAAAAGGAAAAAAGAGTGGTCAGTTCTAAGTCCTTACTGGGCCTGGCTAGAGCAGTGTTCTGTCATCTGCTTGTAACATCTACTATTTTAAAAGTCAATGGCTTTCTTCTAATGATTCAGCATGAAATCAGCCTTATTTTAGATTAGCCTGTCGACTTCATTATGTGTGTGCTATATGGCTTGTGAGCTATACTTTTTTAAAAAACAGTTTCATGGGCAACCTGCTGAAAACGTAGCCGGCGGTGATGGATTTTGAGGCGCTTTTTATTTTTTTATTATTTTAAAGAGTGTTGCATATTCTCAGAGGTGCAGATCAAGTGATGATGATTGTCGTCAGATATTTTTAAAACAACAAGCTGTGCAATTTTACACAAAATACTGATCAGACTCAGGATTTTCAGACTGTAATTGCTCAACTGTTGAGCACTTTTTTCCTATAGCATGCACTTTTTGCATTTAATCAGAATTGGCTTGATTCTTTACTTCGGTTCTTTACTAAAATTTTAAATTCTTTTCTAAATTTGGGTAGTTTGATAGCATGTTCATTAGGGCAGGTGCGTGGTGCTGTGCTGTATATATGAAGGCAAAATTTGTTGTCAAAAACCTGAAAGTTGAATGAATTAAATAACGTGGGTATTAGTAATCTGAAAAATGGGGAAGGTGGCAACTTCAGCTTTATTCAGTGTATTTTGTGGGTTTCTGCATAACTTTGCAGGTGTTTTGTCAAAATAGGAAGGTTCTGCAATGGAGATTGCCGCTAAACGAATAGTAGTTCTGAGATGGTGTTGCTCCTGGTGGATTACGTTCAGACAACAATTAAATATTTTTGAATTTGAATATATTCATTATGTCATTATTTAAAATAAAGTAACAACTGTATGACGATTCGATTCCTGTTGTATGAAAACATGTAGTAAATCATTCTGGTATGTTTGTGTGATGCTGCATGTGTGTGCTATTTTATGCAACAGCTGACATGTTAATAATGTAGTTTTCCTCAGTTCAGCAATTAGTGTGCTTGAGATTTTAATCTTAGGCAAATTACTGTTTAAAGTCTCAGAGAATTTAAGGTAAACGGAGAGCCTTTTGCCTGCAAAAAGTTGAGTCAGTGTTTATTTGGTTTGTGTGGGTGTTTTTGTTGTGTTCTTTTTCGACTTTTTCGCTTCTTGTAATTTAAAGATTGTTCTTTGCTTTTCGTGATGCACATGGAGTGGTTTATTCATTTAATCTATGCAGCTCTTCTGTTTCTCTTCAGTCTCCCCTTCTCTAGACTGACTTCATTTTTTTTCAGTCTTTTCTCACCGTTCTGTGGTTTTTAGATCGATGATGATGATGATAATACTGATGCTGTTCTGTCTTCAGTGGGAGAGAAAATCTGTGTCTTTCTAGAAGTATGGTGCCCCAAAATGGATAGGGTGTTCCACTTAAAAAATTTAATTGTGAAAAAGTAGACCAAAGCACTTGCCTCATGGTTTTTCAGTTATTTCTTCTGTTTATACTTCTCAGACTGTTGCTTTCTCTGACAGTACCTTATTTTTTGCAACCACTTCACATGGTGGACTTTCATTTATTGAGTGATGCACTGTAAATGCAGGTGCATTTTTGCTGCTCCCTGTCCAGTTGGTTCCAATTCTAAATTTGGTTTGCTTATTGGGATTTTTTTTCTTGCTGGAGAATGGGATGCCTTTATATTTTCACTTATGGGACAGAATTCTATTTTTTTAGATCACTTGTGAGGTTGGTGAAGAAATCTTATCCTTTTTTTCATTGTGGTTGCATCCTCTGCTCTTTCTCCAGCTGCCTGGTAAAGTATTAGGCAAGTAGTCTGTTCTTCCTTATGAAAACCAGTAGTAAAAAGACTCAATCCCAGCAGTATTCTTTTGAAAGCCTAATTGTGTATGTTCCTTCATTATGAGAGCACAAATGTGAGTAAGTCACTATTCTGATTTCACCAGCTGTGTATGTTCATGTGATATGTAAAAATACCAGCCAAACAAAACCGATTGCAGATTTAGCTTATGATCCAGAACAGGGTTAAGAGGTCTAAAATTATTATAAAGAAACATCAGATGGACGTAGGACAGGGAATTTCTTAGTTCTTTTTCTTTGGTGCAATGACTTGGCTACAGTGGCATGGTACTGAGAATGTTTCGTGAATGTATACTGTCAGTACTGGGGATTAGTGTGGTGCATTGTTTTTATTCTTCTAATTTTTTGTTTTAAATGTTGTTTTATCTCTTAAAACCATTCTCACCTTGATAAATAAACAATATTGGGAGGGGAGAAAAAAGGTTAGTGTAAGGTTAATGTTCAGCTTCTACCTGGGATATATATTAGTTTAATTTATATAATGCTTATAGATACAACATCAACAAAAAACTGTATTAAGAAAAAAAACTCTAATTAACTGATTGAAGAGGTATCTATAGAAGTAATCACTTTAAGATACAGTATTTCCATCTTCAATTAGTCTTTACTGGGAGAGACGGAATCTACCCTCTTCATGTGAACATAGTTACTATTTTTAGGCCTAACTGGTTTAAAAATATCGATCTACTGCTTTTATATAGATGTAGTATGTGTTATGTCCCATGCCATTGATCCTAAAAGAAGTATCTGTTGTCCTGGCAAAAACTTCCACTTTTGCATGACAGAGGCTGATAATATCTCTTTTAATGAAGATGCTCCATAATAAGCTCTGTGGTAACAGTTATTAAAGAGTTTAAACTGAGAGCTGAAGAGGCATATGCTGTACCGACAAGTGTGTGCCTTACGTAAGTAAAACCTTCATGATATCTGGCAAACTGGAATAGCATGAATTCTTCAGCTAAAAATGTTGGGATTTTTGCTATCCTACTCCATTAGCATCTTTGTCTACGAAGCTAAAATGGAAGTGAGCCTAAGCAACATCTGACTGGTATTCATGCAAAGAACAGAAACAGAAGCTGAGCAACACTTCTGCTTAGAGAACAGAAATGCTGCTCTGCAATTTTAAGTAAAATGTAACATTTTACTTCTGAAGACAGAATTATTTAGATATTGATTTTGTGTTTCTTTTCATACAGGTTATTAACGCTGCTTTAGCTCTTGCTGCCAGACCAAAAAGTCAAGTTGTGAAAAAAAACATGGAGATATATAGAAGTACATGGGAGAATCACATCCATGTTCTTACTGAAGCTGTGGATGATATAACAAGTATTGATGATTTTCTTGCTGTATCAGGTATGAGAATTTTCAGAATCTTATTATTCTTTTATATTCTTTGAAAAAATTTCATGACATTTCCAAAGAAAACCAATGGAAGATAAGTTAGCGTAAGGTTTTGTGATGCCGTTGCATTTCTTTAAAATGTCCCTGCACAGTAGGGACTTCTACGCTGCACAGCGTAGCTGAGTAGAAGTTACTTGAGCAAACTGTAGGTGCATGAAGCAGAATGGCTGTGTTACGGTGGGTTTATCTATCCTCATGATTTCTTTTAGCTCTAAGTTTCAAAATCCTCTCTGCAGCTGTGAGAAGTCTCCTAGAAAAGTAAGTACGTATCAGTGTGCATACACATAAAAGAGGAGACTCTCACAATATCCTGTGTTCCAATTACTTCTGTCACAGGAATTACTGTGGAACTTGGTTCCACAGTCATTTCTGTGATAGATGCAGACGTGGGAAATCATGTGGGCTACTTTTTCAAGTTGATGTGTTTAAAAACACCTCATAAACCAAAAAAGATGCACTGTACCATTTCCAGAATTTTCGGTTAAAAATATTTGTCAAACAAAATGTACTTACAAATCTCTTCACGACCTTGGTAGCAGGAAATGGTGTTTACTGAAGGAGTGAGTGTCTTAAACAGAAGGTAGAAAACAATGGTTTTACTTCTTGCAGTGTAAAGATCCTAGTTCTATGTTTTTGACTCCTCTTAAGTGAGTGTAATGTGGACATGAAGGAATAACTTGTCTCATCTTCATTAGATACAGTTTAACTTTTGTGTTTCCCTATGGCCAGTAGGCCTTGAGCTTGCACATTTTTCTCTGGGTGTTTCTGTTGGGCTCAATTCGATTTGTTAGGATTCTTTGGTTTATGCGTCAATGTAGAATGTGAATAGTTCTGCAGATGTCAGTAGTTTGAAATCATTGTAAGTGAAGTCAGAACTAAGTTCATTTTTCCAAATTATTCTTTGCTCATTAAACATGAGAGTGGACTCTTGTCTAAAAGGGATTTTAGCTTGGATATTCATTGCTCTAAACCTTACTTCTATGTCATCAAAAACACCAGCTTTACTGTGGTAACTGCAAGTTGCTGGACTGGAGTCCCCATAACTGACTGGTGTTTTTCCTTGTGTTCAGGATGTGGGTATTACAGTGCAATAACTGTAAGCAGAGATGGCTGTTCAGGCCCTTTCTGGGTCTGCCAGTGCTGGATGCAGACTTTTCCTCAGAGCATGGATGTTCTCCTTGCTTTACAGTGGTCAGTTGGTATACCGAGCAAGTGATTTAGATCTGAATGTAGAAGAATTTAGTGCAAATAAAGCGAAGCCACCAAGGTGAAGGGCTCTGGAGTGGACAACTGCGCCAGGGAACCCTTTCCTAAAGCGGCAGAATCGTGAAGTCAAAAGTGCAGGGAGGGAGAAGGCATCCCCCCCCACCCCCCTCAGAGCAGGCAGGAGTCAGCTCCTAACGAGCAGGCAGCTCTGACTCAGCGGGGGCGCAGTCAGCGGTGACGGAGGCGTGACCCTCCTGAGTACAAGAGCAAACCCTAGGGAGCGCGACGACCAGGGTGGGCAAACAGGGTGTGACGTATCAGAAGGGTGTGATGTGGCAGTTGGCGTGGCAGTTCACGCAGGCGGGGCATGCAGGGAATGCAGAGGCCCTCCCCCAGCTGCCAAGGCAAGCTCAGGAAACTCATCTGCAGGAAGGAAGCCCAGCCATGGCACCCCACCGTCAGAAGGCTGCTTCTTCTCTGCTGGTCAGAAAGGAAGCCTCAACCCAGACTGAGGTCCCTGGAAAGCATGCAGCTGTCCAGGTCTCTGGCTGCAGCGAGTGCCACCAGCTAGC